TATATATATATATATATATATTTAACTTAGTAAAAGCATATATGTGTATGTCTGTGTATGGGAAAAAAATTAGGCAAACAATGGAACTAAAGCATTCACATTCAAATACAGTTAAATAGGAATATGCACGACTACATAACCACACATTACAAGTTGATACTGAGAACTACCAGAGATTCGTTAAAGCTTAACTAAGGAATCAACATTTAATAGCTTCCACTTTCCTCCAAAACTTCTGAATCTTAAAAATATATATATTTAAAAAGTGGGAGGAACACAGACTTCATATTTTACCTATGACTTGCAGAGGAGCAGAAACAGGGTTTAAAAGAAGCCAAATGTTCTGAAGGTCTGTAAGTGATAGCTGAGGTAACATGGGTAAATACATTATTAATGTTTGTGTTATTGCTTACTATTGACTGGATCTCTTCATTATACTCCTGAGAATCATGTACATAAAAGACAATAGAAATGATAGCAATGGCATCTGATTAACCCTCGGCAGATCAATCCTGGAACACAAGACTTTAAATATGTATGAGGCAAAAAAATGACTTTGGGTTATTAGTATTCCAATAAATTTTCCACAGCTGAAAGGGGCAGGAGAAATGCACACATTTTAATAATTTGGGAAAAGCCAAGTTAGCTGATATCAATGATATTTGGAGGCTATTGTAATCTTTTTTTCTTTTAATGCATTTGCTTAATTGTCCTGTACAAAGAAAAAGTAAGCCAAGCATGTAGTTAAGACTGGTGGGCATCACATTCAGACAATTTGTGTATTCTTACAAATGTGTTTAATTACAACTGCTTCAAAAGTACCCCAGAGTTTCAAAAGTTTTATTTTAAGTTTGAAGACTAGACAAGGTCATACTAATTTTACAACATCCTACATGATTTAAGCATATATACAAAGAAAAAAAAACAACGTTGGAATATTACACAGCTTTAAGGTTTGCAAAGGTTATCTGTGTCTTAGTTACTTCTGTACTTACTGACACATGAGACGCCAGCAGTGAGTATTATATTTCATAATTTGTTGACTAGCAAAGATACAATCATTAGTACCCTAAGTCTTCAAAGTTCACACCAATCCTTATGAAGCCATTCAGAAAGAGAAAGTCAACCCTGAAATTAGAATTAGTGCCTACGATAAGTGCTTTTGACAGGACATAGATAAAATGGAGATGTTTAAAATGTTATTTCCAGAGATTATAAAATTAGCATATTACAGTTACTCCGTATAGTGAAGAAAAGGTGATTCTTCTGGGTGTTCTGCTTATAAGATTTTCTTTAGTGTGAATTTAAATAGAATAAATTTGTTTCCCACTGATGCCATTGATACAAATGACACAACAGCTACATGCTACTTTATAGTACTTGTTAACAAGACTACACCTGGGAACCCCTTTGTGATCATAAATTTGGATATCATGGGACCAATAGGTATCCAGTTGACCATGCCATGTTGCTGAAGATACCAGAGAGCATAGAGAAAATGCACAAGCAAGGGAAAGCCATTTCAATGTGTTTCTAAAAGGTAACAAGTATAATTTTAACAAACTCTCTGAAAATATTTGTTTAAAAAACTATCAATAAAATAAAATTCAAAACATCACGAGAGGCAATGAATAATTTTGAGAAAGTAATCGTTACAAAGCATTACTCAGAATTTCCATAATATACTCTGCTGAGAACGGAGAATCGATTATGCATAGTCTGCAAAGGAAAACGATTAGAAATTTGGTGGGACAGTAAAGGCTTAAAGAAACAAAAGGCATTGGCTAGACAGTAAGTATGTGTATATTGTTGGGCCTATGTAATGATTTGTAATATGATGGCGAAATATAGGGAATAGAAAAGATTTAAATTCCTAATTTTAAAATTGCCCGAAAAAGGTAATATTGAGGACCTAACAATTTTGTTTGTGAAAGATGCTGAAAAATGATTGCCATTTAATAAGCTTCAAATCAACAATTTCTTAAGAACCTGAAGTAGAAAGCCCGTGGGCATAGGATAAGTATGTGACCAGCCAGTCCGAATTTTGCTCTTATTAAAAATGCCATTATGATTGACTTTCCCTTTAAATTCTTCACTATGATTGAAGACCACTCCATATATACATCAAAAGAAATGCTTTTAACACATGGACAGACAATACAGTAACAGTCTAGTGGCTTTTGTTATGCAGCACAAATAATAGAGGGGAGAAAAAAAAACTTCTCAGTGTTGCACAGGACTTTAACATTTCGTACACATACCATACTTTCTTTTCCAGGACCCTTAATTTAAAACTCCAATAATTCCGTGTCTAAGCCTTATAAAATAAATACTTGTAAAGGTTATAAATTAGATGTTGAGGACTTTTATGGAGGCAGTGTGAGCTTTAATTTGAGAGACATGTCAATGAAACCTCCATTATCAATAACAAATTTTTATGATAATTGCTTATTATTTCAGGACCTCCGAAGCAAAATAAATAGAAATCAATTTTTATCTTAAAATGATGGACTACTTGGTCATTAGTAAATACTTTTCTTTTCACAAATAACTACACAATGTGCTTTCCTGGGAAACCACTACCAGTTTCATTCAAGTCTCAATAAAATGTTAGTTTCACAAGAAATGCAGAGGTGAACAAACAAATGAGGAGTATGCTTGGCCAAGCTATGCAGCACAATGCTAACATTTGTTTGCTAAAACATTTCTTAAATAGAGAAAAAAAATTCATTATCCTAAAGTGGAGATAAGGGTATGTAAATAAGCTGAAAACAAAGTTTAAAATTCCAGTTTAAAGGGACATCATATAATTCTGTTTTTGTTTATTCGGCAAGATGGTGGTATTCGGCTTTTTGTAAAGGAAGGCATTTGGAAATACATAGTTATAGCTTCCTTCAAAAATAGAATTGCAGATTCAATATACTGATATTAAATATGATCAATCTACTGATACACAATCATGTTCCATATATATGTATACATACACAAACATGATCCTCCTTTTAGGCAAATACTAGGAGTAAACTCAATTAGCAAAAAAAAATGGACTTATTCAGTCATTATATAATATAAAGATATATATGAATAGAACAAAAAGGAAAAAAGATCACATAATATTTGATTAGAAATACTGGAAGCAAAATGAGAAATATAATGTCAATTAGTACTGCCTGTTACAGATTCTTTAAAATTCTGTTCTAAGCACTGACAGTGTTTGGTAGGCACAGGGAAACAATTATGATAATGAAGAGTCATTACAGAAGAAAAAAACTTATTGCTAACATTGCGGTATTCCTTTTATAAGAATTAGTTGAGTATTGATTATAAAAGTTCTATCAACTCTTGCTTCTACTTGATAACTATGAGATTTTTTTACCCTTGCTATCTCAAAAGAGTGCTACTTTCTTTCCTTAATATATTTCAACCATTGTGAATAATGCAAAAGACAATGACAAAAGTAATTCACAAGTTAATGTGATGTTGCTTAAGAAATTTAAACAATAAAAATCAAATTAAACCATTGAAAAGGTAAGCTTAGACCTCCTTAAAGACAGTGGCCTACCATAATTTAAGCACTTTTTCATGAAAAATACCATTCAGTTTCCTACAGATTTTGCACAGTTCATTCCGTGGAGATACTTTTAGGGAGATAGAGAGGAGAGTTGTGGGGTATGGAGTCTCCTCACTCCTCCTCTGTGCAGCCCAGCAGCTCCGACCGCAGTGTGATCCTTCCATACCAGGACCAAGGAAGGATTCTTATGTGCCGTGCATAGATGGGAGGGTCGATGACATTTTTCCTGTGCGTATCATTGTCAAAATTGCCCTGGAAAACCTAGTAAAGAAGAGCAAAGAATATCAATCATGTAGCCTTCTTTTTCTTGGGAATTATTTTTATTATTTTCTTGTTTCGAGCTTTTTTCCCAAAAGTGAGATTTGAGAAGTAATCATGTTTTTCAAAATAAATTGTTGCAGCTTCTTTCTAATGATAATTTTTAAACCAAACTGTCAAGTAATGTTTAATGTAAAGACTTAAATAAGGGGTGCCTGGGTGGCTCAGTTGGTTAGGCATCTGACTCTTGATCTCAGCTCAGGTCTTGATCTCAGCGTCATGAATTCAAGTCCCATATTGGGCTCCACACTGGGTGTGAAGCCTACTTAAAAACAATCAAATAAAAATAAATAAATAAAACAAAACTGGGTGTCTAAGGCAGGAATATGTATATCTACCATCTCCCTTTGCCTATCAGGTTTTTAAAAATGCAACAGATATTTATTTTTTGCTTATGTCACAGGCTGATGTTGATTAGGCAGCTTGCTGAGGGTGCTCTCTTCCAAAGAGTGACTCAGAGATCTAGGCTGCTCTGATCTAGGCTAGCCATCATCTGAAACATGGGATCTCCACATTGACAAATGATATGGTGAGAGAGAGTTGTTAGCCTGTGCAGGATGTTATAAAGAACACAGTAAGGAAGCAGCTTACATCATTTTTGGATACATATCATTGACCTTAACTAATTATATGACCCCAGCCCAGCCGTAAAGGAAGCTGGAAAATGGAGAGGAGAGCATGGATATTTGGTGAGCACAGTACTATCACAATGTCTTTTGCTCACTTTTCACACAGACAACAAATTCCCCAAGAGATAACACAATCAATGCTGTTTTGTACTCCCCCCACCTTTCTTTTTTTTGGCTTCTCTGTCTATTAATTTCTGGATCCATACAATACTGTTGTGATCATTGTGACTTATAATGTTCGGACACGTTGGCACTGCATTATTCTCTATCTTCCTTCTTTTGTTGCAAAGCTTTTTTATTTTCTTAATGCATTTTATGTCCATTTTTCTCCCAAGAGACCTTTATAATAACTTTGAAAAGTGCTTGTTTCAGAAAAAACAAAATCAAACTACTGGGATCCTGATAGAAATGGTATTAAATTACACATGACTTTGGGAGAAATTCATGCATTCATAATATTTAGTCTTACTTGAAGATTTCATCATTTTTTAACCTAGAGATTCTGAACACTTATTATTGAAGGAATTTCTAATGATTTTATATTCACATTTTTATTTCAGCTCAACTAGGATAGTGAATGTCTCTTCAGAGTTTCCCCTTTTAACTTTATGAGGCATCTTATAATTGGAAGATAATTTTCTTTCTTGCTTGAGATCAAAACATGACTACATGGCTAAAGGGAGACCTGAAAAGAAAATTCCCCAAAGGAAAAAGAAAAGAAAAGAAAAAAAAAAAAAGAAACGCCATCACTACATGACAGAATATTTAACCCGTATCTTTGAACATTCTAAAATTAAAGGGAATGTTTTAAAAACCGTCTTCTAGAATAAGTTGGTTCAGTCTCACATGATCATAAAAGGTCCCCCGGAAATAGGAAAATAAAGATATGCTCTTTAAGGCATTAGACAGCATGGCACTGATTAATAGAAGCAAGAGACAAGATGGGGTAATCTTTCTGTTGGTCCCATGGAAAGATTACGTGTCGTTGAGGGCAAATGCAAAGTGCCATCCCCATCTGGTGGGGAATAATCTTTCAACATGACACAAAATATATCTCAAAGGCTATTTTTGAATAAATACTTGCTGAAGAAGAGAATACCGAACTGTGCCAAATCTAGAATTCATCATCCTGGCATATCTGAATCCATTTTCATTTAATAGGCATTTTATCCTCAGCAATGCTCTGGCTTTGAATTGACCAAGCAGGAACTAATTCTGGATTTAAATGTGTTACTAAGTAACAGTGTCTCTGTTAGCAGAAGCTCACATGGATAGGGCATACCACACAAACACTCACCAGAAATCCATAGAGAGGTTGTCATTGCAAAAGCAGAAAATAAGAGAGTATAGTGTACGCATCCCTGACATTCTCTCTGACATATGATGTTGGATTCAAATGCTTCACTGAGATTGTCGTGTTACAATTTAATACAGAATCTCAAATCCAATTTCATAGCCCTGCTAGAGAACTTAATGTATATCTTCAGAATAATAGAACTTAAATTCATTAACTTTCATCACAAGATCTATAACCGTCCAAAACATAGTGTCATACCACTTCTTAAGAAAGATATACAGTCAGAAACAATTTGCTTTTAAGTCACTGGTCCTCAGCACAAGTTTCAATAAGAAACTATCAATCCAGAAAGGAATAGTTGACATATTAGTTAGACTTATCTTTTTATAATGGAAAATATATTTAAAGAAACTACATCAGCTCTGAAACTGCATACAACTGTGACATTTCTGATTCAATGTGTGAAAGTCATAAATATTTGAATGCTCATTAAAAAGATTAAATGAAGTTTCATAAAATAGTATCATTAAAAAACAAAAATTTTCACAGAAAAACAGCCACAGTCTACATTGGAATCACCCAAACTATGAGCTAAAGGTAGTGAAAATATACTTTTAATATTGGAGGTCTCTCAGTAATGATAGAGTAGAGAACACTAAGCACATACTTGCGATTTCTAACATGACATCTTGTACTTGCTGTGCAAACATGTGGCTCATGTACTGTTTCCTTGTCTCCAGCGCTAGGAAGATCTTGCTTAAGAATTGCAGTTTCAAAGTTTTACCCAGCAAAGGAATGCAAACTCAGTATTTTTAGTTAACTTTTAAAAATGTGTAAAAATTCTAGCAATGCACTTTCATATACACACTTTAGACATATAAGCACCTTGATTGAAATCAAAGTCTGAAAAGACTGATGGAAAACATTGAATGAATCTCCACTGAGAAGGGGAATATTGTACACAAGAAAGATAGTTTGAGAAGTTTTTAGGAAAGAGTCTGCACATGCTTCAGTTTCAGGAGGAGGCTCAGCTAATAATTAGCTGATGACAAGTTTGTTGATGCACTAAGACATGATAATGCTTAGAGATCTCAGGATTTTCCCAACACACGGGGCCTCAAGGAAAAGGTACTGAAAGTACTTTGGAGAGGCTTCCACAGTTAAACAACCTAGAGGATAAGGGAGAAAACTACAACTGCCTCCATGTGGCAGAGATGTTGGATTCTGCTTTCCAATGTCAACTCTCCTGTGATACTAGTTAAAATTCAAATCAGATTCTAATGAAAATTCAAATCTCAACTCAGAGAGACTGTCAGATAAAACAATTAAATGTTGCTTCTAGCAACGTTTTAATAATTTTTTTCTCAGATGAGACTTGTCATTCTTCATTAGGGACAATGGTCTATTCAGGCCAGAGTAGACGTCATCAGTGGAGACTGCCAAGAAGGCAGGATTATCCTTCATGACACAGTCAGAGAGTTGGGTCATATCTCAGCTTTTCTTAGCAGCCATGTACTATATACCTGCCTTTCACAAATGTTGAGGAATTCTTTGGGGATTTCTTGCACATACTACTTACTTAGAATGCCATCTGGTCTGTGAAGATATACTTCTTGTTATTTGTTGTAAACAAATGCATTAAAAGTTTTAAAGAGACTCTCACTGGTCTAACCTTTTGGGATCTAACCAGCAGTTTTAAGCAGTTTTAGGTAGCCTCCCTGAGCTCTTCAGGGCTAAAGAGTCTGTATTTTAGCAAGGTCTTGGGTAACCATCAGTTCATCCCTATGGCGTTTTGGTCACCCTTTTCTAGATTGCATTATCTCTCTTTTGATATGGGGAGACTAGAACGATATCTGGAATTCCAAATATTGTGGAAATATAAGGGTTGAATAAGCTTTCTCGAGTTTTCTCTACTGTTTGTATTTGCTTTGGTAATGGTGTCAGACATACCATTGGCTTCATTGGCTATGTCTATACACCAATCTGATATCCTTAAAGGATAAAAGCTCAAGATAAAAATCCATTACCCTAAAGCAGCATTTGTGTGTGTGTGTGTGTGTGTGTGTGTGTGTGTGTGTGTTCGGGGCAGGGAAAGGAATGGAAAGTGAAAAAAAATCTTATTTGGCATATATAATTTCAATTATTTATTCTTTCATCTAGAGTACTTATAACAAACTTAGAAAACAACAGTCTTTTCAAGCTCTGATCCCTGAGAAACTCTGTTTTTATTTAACTCTACCCATACAATGGAAGAACCCAAGACTTGGAAAAGAAGGCATAGATCTGCCAGCATCAATTTTTTTCTAACATTTCTGACATGGAACTTTCAGCTATGGCAACCTATTCATCAATATAATAGGGTAGGTATGCTTTTAGACACTTTGGAAGTCTGTCTTTTTATGGGTTGACATATGCCTCCTTCAAACTTTGATCTATGATCCTAGTGATTTATGCTCAAAAAGCATAGAAGATATCTAACTACCAAAAGAAAAACACTAATAATAACTAATATAAACCTATCAAAAACTCAAAAATAGTGCTTGAGGCTAAACAGTCATGGTTGCTTAAAAAATTCCTCATTTAAGTTGATCTTCAAACTTATCATCTTGACTGCATTCCATTGGATACCCTCTGGTTTAACTATGGCTCAATTAAAGTGCGGATTTATCCAGACATAGTATGTAGTTATGACTTGAATGGCTCAAAATATAGAGGATACTTACCTTTGTTACAGATACAATGCTTCTATCAATGCAATAAAATTATTTAAAACTAGTAGATTCACTTTGGTCATGATTGATGACTGATGGTCAAATAAACTATGAACTTTGTCATAGAATTTCTTTTAAGCCAGGATTTTCCCAATGTTTTACTTGTAAAATAGATTTATAGTGGATATAGAAATTTATATTTATTCCAATTTCATTTCATTTTATTGAATCGTGACATTTTAAAAATAGCAATTCCTTAGTTAAAATAATGATCTATATAAAAATAGTAGAAATTTAATAGGCATT